CATTTTGGTAAATTTTGTGGTGTAGGGATGTTTGAGTAAAATTGAAAACTTTTGGTGTATTTGAGATATTAGAGTAATTTGAAGTGGTTAAACATGATTTTTGGTGAGAAAGTAGGATTTTGGGCAATTTGGAAAATCTGGGGAAATTTTGAGATAGACGACCAAAGTAGGATGCTCTAGTTAAATTAGAATTGATTAGATAGGGTGAACATGCAAACCATGGAACCTCCCCCTCTGAGGCCCATGGGAGAGCTCATTTTGGATCCTCCACATGTTGGACCTGGCCATCCTAGCCAAAGGCTAAGGGCTTGGGACCACCCACATTAATTTCCAAAAGATGCTGGAAAAAAGGCAAGTACAAGTGATTTGTAGTGTTAGGATGTACAAGGAATTGTGGTGAGCTAAAATGTGTATGAACAAGAACAAGCCACCTAGGTTTACCCTAAGGCTTGTAAGTCTTATGAGAACTCTCTTTGAGCTTCCTCCTGTTGGTTCCAACCTTCTAACAGCTAGAGGTTAAAACGATACATTTGAAACTTCAGAAACAACAAAGAAGTGTTTTTAAACTTCTATGTGATGTGGGTTCCATCACTAGTCCTATACGATACTCAATAAAAAAGTCTTACGGCTAGATCCTAGACTCCTAGGAGAAGAAAACTTGACCTCATCAAATGTGAGATTAATAGAGCCTAAACGCCTAAAGCTAGTGCCATGGCACCTAGGTGCCAGTTTAGGTCCAAGCATCCATTGCTCCATTTGCTCTTTTTGTCTCCAACTTGCTCCAATTTCTTTACATATTATACCTGCACCAAAAACATGAAACTAATTTTCTTTAAAGTGAAATTTCATTCATAAAAAAATATAAAAATTATAGGAAATTAAGCATGCAAAAAGGACAAATGAATAAGTTTTCATTCGTATGGGATCACGAGTTACTCGCTCTCTACCCATATGGATTGGTGTGAGCTTTGAAGGCATCAGGATGCTCAAATGAGATAATCTTCCTTTGTGACACCCTTCACTAGTTTTTATATAAGTAAGTAGAATTTCTTTTATTGAGAGTATTCTTGGGAACCTCCCAAGATGTAACTAACCAAACAGATACGTCCCTTTGGGAGTTGCTCTTGACTCTAGAAAACCTACAAACACTTGAATCTCTATTTATGGGTTGCTTTCATAGGTCTTCTTTGTGGATATGCTTCCAAGCCATTTTTTATCATATTATATTTGAACGTATGCTCTTGGGCTATCACATGATGTTATCTTTAGAAAAATTCTCCACATACTATTTCTTGTTTGTGTTCATTGTCGTATATCCTTATTTTCTGATTCAACTCTTCTCTGAATCATCTATAGGATCTAGAAGAGATATTTACTTAGAAAAGAAAATTATACGATAATAAACAAGCTGACGACTCCATTAAAAAGAAATGAAAAATAAAAAACAGATCACTTGACTTGAAATATGCCTTGACGAATCATCAACATTAGTTGGATAAAGGGATGTAGTCACATCATCCCTTGAACCACCACAGGAGGTTTTCATTCAATCAGTACTAACTCACATATCACTTTATTTTGAATAACAACAAAAGTTTTTGAAAATAAATGATTGAAATGTGAACCTGGTATTTGCCCCTCAGATGAGCCAGACTCTTTGATTCCCTCCTCTTCTTCTCTAGTGAACAAATCATCTATCACCTTTGTTTTTCTTGATGCCTTTTTTAGAGTCACGCAACCTTCTCTAATTGCATTTTTTCCTCGGCCTCATTCGAAAGGCCTACATCTCTTTTGTAATGGGACCATATTACCTTAGATTCAACACCCACTACATCATCTTCACTTAAGGAGAAAATTTTACTTTTCTTGAATAGGCCATCTATGGCTCTTTTTGAAAGGCCCTAATCATCATAGGTACCCTTAAAAAATAGAACTTCTAGTATTTGATCTTGTTCTCCAGGTCAATCAAATGGAACTTTTGGGGGGTCTGAAGGACCTTGTACCCATCTGGCTCGACCTAGAGGAAGAACATATGAAAATAATTTGTGTGACTAATGGACGCCTCGTCTACACAAATAAATCAAGTATGTCATCACTACCACAATAAATTTTGACTTCACTTAGGTCGAGATAACTTCATAAAAGCTAATGATCAAATGAAGCTTGATACATAGAGACAATCTAAGCCCACAAGGAAATTGGTCTCAGTAGATCATCTCCCAAGTAGTTAGTGGCCTGAACCTTTACATTTACATGCTCCAAGACAACACTTGTGCCATAAACACAAGTCTCATTACGTAACTTGACCTCAATCTTGGAAAAGATCAATCTCTCGGAAGATTTAATTGAACAAAAAATAAGAGGATATTAATTAGAGATCATTGAGCTTCCAAAGAAAAATGACTGAGTGGCAGCCAAAGCAGAACATATGAAAGCTTCACTTAACATCCATTCAAATCTATCATAGTCCCCTTCTTGAAGTTAGAGCGTCACATTGGCTTTCTTCAAAAACGTCATTTCGACTTAAAATTTGAGGTAAATAATAATTATTAAACTATCAAAAAGTTTATTCATAAGAAAAATATTTTATAGGCAGAATTCATTAAACTCATATATAATGCATGCCTCCTAAAATTGTATTTATCTATCCTTTTTCTTCAGCGCATACATGAGAAATTAAAATGACCACTCAAAAATTAGTCAATTCTGCCTTTAGGGTCACCACATCATCCTGAAGAGCTTTCAAGTCTATTACCTAGGGTCGGAGTATGTCCATTTTTGCATCCTTGACCCGAAGGACCTCCACCTCAGCAACTTGGGACCAAAGGGCCTCTTTATCTGCATACAAGACTACCAACTTCTCCCAAAGATCTGAGATAGTGGACGCTCATTGAAAGTCAATAGCTTGAGCAAGAGAGTCCACTGCCTCTTCCATATGATGAACAAAAGACCCATGAAACTCCTCGTGACTGTCACTTTCCCTTTCGGTGTCAGTTGAAAAAGGTGTTAAAACTAGAAGAGGCATTAGAGTGAATACACCTTGGTCCACAGCTTGAACAGATGGCCCGACATGATATGTTGGCTCGATTTGGTGTGCCGTCTCTACAGATTGAGAGCCAAAGATGTTTGTGGTTTCCTATGAAAATAATTGAGCTAGCGTTACAAAAGCAAATAAAAAATCTAATTGAAAATAAAAAAAATGTCAAAGTTACCAATCAATCGGTCTATTTCTGATGTGAGAAAGCTCTTTGTGGCGTGAGAAGAAGCACCACCTTGAAGATCCTTCCCTGTCAATGACAAAGGAGGAGCTTCTTCCATTGGTGGAGCGTCAATTTGGATGGCATTATCTGCTAAGCAATGGAGCGGATCATATATCCTAAAAAAGGAATCACCTTGAGTAGTCTTCGGGGCTAAAGAGTGCAGCAAAGTGAAGTCCGGTGGTGAAAAGTGTGCAACCGCTCCTTAAGATTCCCCCTCCTAGGGTGGTAGTTGGGTTAGATGCTAAAGAAGCGTTATGGGGTCCAATAACATTCCCCCCTTTCAACTCCTTATTATAAATGGTGTGAAGTTAGATGATTCATTAACCTCTACCACATGAGAAAGTTTTGAGGCTCGTTGTTTGACTGTTTTTATTAATATAGCGGGCCTTTTCCACTGACTGTTTTTCTTACATCTCCTTTCCTTTTCTGAATCGGATGTGTTTCTTTGCCCACCTTTTTTATAAGAAGGGGGTGAGAACTGTCAAGTTTCATTTTCTTTTCATCTTCTGCGGGGCGAGTTCCAGAAACAAGAAGACCAAAAGCCTTCAACAAGGCTTCCTTATTGGTTTTTTGGTTCTTGACATGTTTGTTCGCCTAACTGACAGACTCGCCTGAAGTAGATGAAAAAATGAGAAAAGGAAAAGCACACTTAGCGCTCTATTTATAGGGGAAAAAAGGGGCACAAAAATCAAGAAAGTATAATTTATGACGATCTTTATTTTCTATTATCTGAACAATCATGTTATTTAATTCTCTTATTTTTACGGTAACTGTCACTTTCATATAAGTAAGAGAATTAGGGAACTAATTAAGTTTATCAAGAATGTGCCTACATGAATTTCAGGTGAAATAATTGGAGACAGAAATAACAAGAATTGTTCGTGCAAATGATCGGTTGGTTTCCAAGGCCGACCAAATGAAAAGAATGAATGACCCGATACTTACTACACAACCGCATCAGAACCTTCTTCCCGGTGACTTCCAGCATGAATATTAGTAGTCGCTCAGGATGAAATACTTCAGTGTAGACACAAACCAAAGATAAGTTGTTTGTCGGATAAGATGATTCACTCTCTTCCCGATGAGATAATCCTACCCAAGGGCAATGTGTCTTCACTTCAGTCTCCACAAAATGGACAATTGAAGATAATTAAAACCGACCAAAGGAGGTTAGTTTGACCAAAGGAATAATGGCTGACCAAACAAACTCCAAAGTAATTGAATTGGGCGGTTGCAAATGTGAAAATTTTTTATGACAATTACAAAAATACAACAACAGTAACGACAATTACGAGGTTTAAATGAAATTCAATTACAAACATGTAAATGTAATGACTTATTAATTATATTAACGCTTCTTTTTTAAATGGGGACAACTATATGACATGAAATCCTACCTATAAATTATAAATACACTCTTGAAAAGAATGACCTTGAACGGAGTTCTCACCAAAATATACAAAATATTCAAACCATATTCTTTATTCTTTCATCCAAGTAATACTCTATTCCTTATGTATGCTCCACAGGATTATTTAGGATCTAATATCGACAATTTTAATGTTTCTATAAATTTCAATATTAAAACAACTCAATGTAAATAATGTGAATCTATATTGACACCTTAATCATTTAAGAATAATTTACAATGTGTAAAATGACAAACCTAGATTCCCGTCTTATTATGGATTGAATTAAAAAATGATTAATAGAAATACACCACATCCCCGCAACCCCGCTATCTCGCCACGCCAATTCCCAATTTCATACGCGGCAACCCGACCGGGTGCACTCCGTGCCCTAGCTGATAAAATCCCTAAATTAGCTTCACAATCCCAATCTCATCATACTCAGTCCATGGCTGCTTCCTCACTATCACTGCTCAACTCCATTCCCTCGATCTCTCTACTCTCCATCATCCTCTCCGCCTTTCTTTTCTCCACATCATCGGCCTACCAGCTCGGCGGCGTCCGTGGATGGGGGAAAAGGATTGGAGCATGGACCGATATACCCGACGCTGCTTCGAACCTAGAAGTACGAGAACTAGGGCGCTACTCCGTTGATGAATACAATCGCCGACTCCGAGGCCCCGGGAATGCCCCCATCGCCTTCTCAGACGTGCTGAGCGCACGACGCCAGGTGTTCTCTGGCATCAAGTATCATCTCCGCGTCTCCGCAGTGGGCTTTCACGACAGCCACCACCTTACCTTTGATGCTGTTGTTGTCGCCCGCACTTGGATCCCTGAACCCAGCCACGATCTTCTCTCTTTCACCCCATCCGATGCCTAGCTTGTTCCGTGCTTTCTCTTACGTATGTGCAGGTTCCGGTTTTCTTTAGCTGTTAATACCTTTCCTATGCTTTGTGGTGATGATGAAATTTCAGCTGTCTCTGTTTGCTCTGTGAATATATTCGGATTTGAACCTCACTACTTCTGATTTTTTTAAATAAACATAAAGATTGAAAAAAAAATGTAATCCTTCTAAACACTGAATGCATTGATGCATTTTGATTTGATGCTCCCTTTTTTGCTTTTGTAAATTAACATCCAAGCTGAATTAAGCCTTGAAGCCCATGTTAGAAATGTTCATATAATAATTTTATGGGGGCATTTACATATAGATTATACAATTCTTATGTATTTACATATCTAACTCCTAAATGTTCATATTTACATTCATACAACTCAAATCCTTTACATCAAATCATAGTTACCAATTTTGATTTTTTAAAAATTAAATACACATTTTCATTAATAGATTTAGGACACCAAGGTGTTCCGAGTGAGTGTAACTATCAACATTTGAATGTTAGATATGTAAATACATAAGAATTTTGCGGTATGTACTATATGCTTATAATGAGGCCTCATGAAAAAATATCAACAACTTGCAATTTTAACCTGAAGTCAACTAGCCAGAATTGGATTGAATATTGCCCCTTAGACCAATACATTGACCATAGGGGAGTAAATGAGTCAAGCTTAACGGAGCACAAAGCTTGTTTGTTTTTGGTTTATTTGAAATTATTTTTGTTCAAAATTGACTTGTGTTCAAGATTGCTCGTGAATAGTTTGTTCATGATCGGTTTGATTTGAAGTCATTCATTCGTTTCAGCTCATGATGAGTTGAATTTAACTCAAATAATTTGAAAATTAATAAATTTTAACATTGTTTTAAACAACGTAAAAAGTCAATATACAATCAGTATAACAAATATTTTTTAGTTCTTCAATTACCTCGAACTAAAATGAGTTGAACACGTTCAAGCAATGGTCTGTTTATCTTCATCTTATTTATAAATCGAACGTTTTATTGAATCAAATTTGAGCTACTTAGCAAGTCGAACACTAGTCATTGTCCAACCAAAATCATCCAATTCAGTCTGCTCTTCAGGAACAAACTCTTCATATTCAAAGTTATGACTCTCCACTACCTTTGACATCCTTTGGCATACTAGGCTAATTAACTGCTTGTTTTGATTTTCTTTGTTTTTTACCGTTAGAGTTTGGCTTTGTAATTGATTCAACATCTTTATTGTAAATTCATTCAAATTCTCAATTTTTTTCATGATGGTCATTATCCTGTTTATTTTAATTTTATCTAGGATTAGTTTGAGGGCTCGACCACTGATGGTTTTCTACAATTGGGTCATTGCTAGTTCAATTGAAGTTTTGATAAGTTGACCAACTTGGGTTGTAGGTGTTGGAATATGGGCGAACAAACCTTGTTTTATGATATGGTGTTTAAACTTCATGTAATTGCTAGCTATTAATGGGATGAAATACTCCTGAAAAGTTAAACTGATTTTCTTAATGGTTTGTCATTTGGTGTTCTGATCCCGAAATTATAGATGTGCAAAATTAATAAAGTTGACTCCGCTTTACAACGACGCCAAAAACTTGATTCGTTATTTATGAATAAGAAATTGCACCAATTTATATTGAGATTCTATGCAAGTATACATATCGTTATCAAGTAATACACGACTTTCTAATTAAGCCCCAACTATAGATCCCACGAGGAAGCTGTAAATTTGTAATGAAAATTTAAATCATGAAATTCACAATGATAAAGAAAATCTACTACACTAAATTTCAAATATTTAGGATGTTAATAGATCTAAAATGTCAAGTACAAGCGAAATAGTAAAACAAAACTAAGAAATAACTACCAAACTATATTTTTGTGACGAAGTTATTAAATATGAGAAAAAATCTTTCGAACTACAATAAATTTGTCATTAAATGAGAGAGATAAATAGTTTTAATTTGTCTTGTGCCAAATAGAAGCAATTTTAATTCTCTACCCCCTGTCATGTGTTATAGAAAATCGTTGGCTAATTTTAGGCTTACTCTCTAAATCTGTGATTTGGCTGGGAGGATACTGACTCTCACTCCTAAGCTCCCATTTCCCTTCACTTGAAAACTAACTCTCGCTTTAGTTCTTAAACACTAAGACCAAATTAGGGATTTTAGTCTGCCAGTCTAAAATCTCTAATTTTTCGCTCAGTAATATATATTTCTCTATTTATTTACACCCAATTCCATGAACGAAACACTTCTTCATGGAATCAAATATGATTCTCACTCTGTTGTGAAACTTAAACTCCATTTTTCAGATAGTATGTTTCACAATAAATGTTAACATTTCAATTGATCAAATCGAAAAGTAAATTAAGAACGGAGTGAAAAAATCATCCCAATTTATTTTATATTTTAAAATTGGTACATTCAAATGAGCTCTTCATTTCACCATATCTCAGAGTAGGGAGAAAGACAAAGAAAACTACTCAGACTTCAGGAGAAAGATACGATAAAATATGAATTTCGTAAATAAAAGAAATTTTACACGGCAATAATAAACAAACACTGCTTGTCTTTAACTCTTTCTTAAAGCAAATCCCTTGTAGCTCCTCTTGGACTCTTTCTGTCATTACAAGACTCTTAATTCTCTCTTTGAATATGTAAAGAAGAAGAAATCTCTCACTTCTCTCCCTCTCCAAAAACTCTTAAGAGAAATTACACTTAGACTCTCCACACTACACAATACAAACAATGGATCACTAGAAGAAACTCAATGACACACTAGCAGACTCCTTTTTCTGATCAATTTTCGCTATAAATATAGCATAATGTCGGTTTTGCAAGAGGTGTATAAAATAACTCTTCAAAAACCGTCAAATTTTAGATTTTTTCTCTGCACCAACTTTAGCGTTGTCGACGCCGACAATGGCGTTGTCGGCGCTCGTGACCCAAATTAAATTTGTGCTCTCTATCAAATGGCGTCGTCGGTGTTGAGTATTTTTCTCCAGAATGCAATTTTGACTCAAATTCCATTCTTTTTTATTCTTTTTTGCTCAAAGTGCTAAAAATCATCAACCTGAAATAAAACTTGAAAAATACACTTTTAAAGCACAATATCACCAAAAATGAATTTAAAACATATGTCTAAAAATGTATATATTTTTTGGTGCATCAAAATTCCCTAAACTTAAATGTTACTTGTCCTTAAGTAACTCGTTTACTACATAAAAATATGACTTACGATAAAGAGTTTAACTGTTAGATTTCCATATTTTGGCCTACTAAATATCATAACAGTACTTAAGATAAATTTAAAAAAACTCAAATTAATACTAAACGTATAAGAATGTCTAGTAGTCAAGTCTAAGATTTCTGATTTTCTATTCTTTTCAAGGAAACTTTCAAATTGTCATATTAAATTCATTGAGAGAATTCATGTGAAAAAGAACTTCATGAAAATTGTACCAATAAATATGTTAATACTTAAATACAAGTTTAGAGAATGTAGTTAAGCCTTCTTCCTTAAGTTGATTCAAGTGAAACCAATTTTTTGCTTAGGCATCTTCTCAAGCTTCTTCTCACATATTTTTCTTTTCTTTTTTTCTTAATATGAAGATTATTTTATCTTGATTGCCTTTAATAATTTTGAACTTCACTATCATATTCTTAAAGTTAAAAACTTTTCACATTCCTTCATTTTTTAAATGTTGACCTCATTTTTGGTTGAGGTCTAGTCTTTCTATTTAGTAGCCTAAGGTCTAACCATAAGACTTTTCTATTGACTATTCTTAGAGAATTAGAAAAGGCACCCTCATTATTAGAAAATCTAAACTTTCTTTATTCAACTTGAAGTTTCACATATTGTTCATAACCTCTAGCACTTAGTAGGTGGGGTTATTGCGGGGGAGCTCAAGGAGAGTTCTTCTATGGCTATTTGACCTTAGGGTTGACCTTGGGTGTTGGGCCAGAGCTAAGGCACTCACTTCACTCACAATCACTCTCACAATCACTCACACTCACAATCACTCACTACCCTAAACCCAAAATTTTTTGACTTTGATCCCTGATACTTCTAGGATACTCATGTAGATGTTCTCATAAACCTACTAGCCCTAGGCTGGATTTTAGCTAAGACCAGTACATAGAGGACCCAAGTGGGGTTTCCATTGGTCCATGGCTTACTTTTTGGTGGTTAGTTCCTCAATCTTACCCAAAATACCCATCCTGACCTTTTGCCCCTAAACTCCCCCAAATTATCCAAGTACCATTGAAACCCTAAATTTGGTCAAAATTCTCAAATTCATCCAAAACACCCAAACTTGTTCAACAAAATATCCAAACTCCCAAATTTATCCAAAATATCCAAACTTTTTCAAAAATCATTTCAAATCTTTTGAAAACACCCAAATTACCCAAAATCACAGAAAAAATTGCCAAATTACCAAAATACCCATCATTTGCCCAAAATTCAAAAAATTTCAAAAATCCCAAAATATTCCAAATATTCTCAATTTCATTTTTCTCAACTATCACATGACTCAATTTGACCATCATTGATTAAAACCCCCAAATTGCCTTTAAATGCTCAAATTTCCCTAAATTCTATATTTTTCTCAACTACCACATGACTCAATTTGACCATCATTGATTAAAACCCCCAAATTGCCTTTAAATGCTCAAATTTCCCTAAATTCTATTCAAATGTCCATCAATTTGATCCCAATCTCACCAAATTTCAATCTCAAACTCAAATTCACTCTCAATGTGACCAAAATAAGCCAAATCCAAGCTCAATTGGCCATGCTTCGAGCCCCACTTTGATATAGGTTAAAACCCCCATTTTGGGCACATGACTTAATCTCACCAAATTGAATCCATAGCCCCTTCAATTGGCCATGGTTTATATTGAAAACTCTTTATAACATTTCTACACATCAAAATTAACCATCAATTGGCCTTGGTGAAGTCTCAATTTCATTTAATTTCAACCTAAGTCAAAAGCCCTAAAATTTGCCCCAAATTGGCTATGCCTCTAAATTTCACTTAATTGATTGCCTTAGCTCCAAAGCTTCCATTCCATTACTTCATGAAAAATCTTTATAACATCTCCCTTGATCATTTGGACCATTCAATTGAGCCAAATTCCAAGCC